ATCTTAATATATGTTTATATATATATATGCCTAACTTGACAGAATTAAAATCACAGTCTACAACACGGATTAGACTGTTTAGGTGAAAAAAATAAATACATTAATTACCAGGCGAATCATCTAAGAAACTAACCAATCAGAACAATCTTGTCATGATGTATATTAACTGGACATTTGTTGTGACACTTCTTACTTCGAATGCATTGTTAAATAAATATCATTGAAAGCTTGTATAGATTGAAATGTTCTATTAGTTGTACAATCAAATTTCAATGATCGATCATGAATATTTGATAAAAACGTGATGTTTCACAAATAGGAAATGTGATTAAGTCAGACAGTTTGTGCATGCATTAGATTTGATTTCAGTCATGATATCTGTCACAAATTAGGGCTGGGAAAATGTCCTTATAATGAGGAGTGTGAAAATCATAATTCTCTTAAGCCTATGGCATTTCTCACATTTTCAAAGTATGATGCTTTGGTTTTAGTTACAGAGTATTTTTTTTGAGAATTTGTTTAGTTTGAATTAACTTGTATTATGAGCTAAAATGGTGACATGTAAATTATGGGAAATGAACAAGTAAATCTTATTATATTTATCTATTTGAGTTTAAATGGATATAATGTTCAGACAATAATCATTGGGAAATAGCGGGTAATAAAACAAACTGTTGTGCTTTACAGATCAACATTCATTTAAATCACCCATCTGTTTAATGTGTTAATGAAAAGGAAGATGAAACTATAGGAAAATGATGAGAAATTGACAGGATATTGGTCTGTATATATAATTTGTATTTACAGCTCAACGACGGAGTGATTTTGGTTGTATGCTATTCTGTTACTTGAATTATCTAATGGTGAAACTTTCATAGTTTTCCTGGGTAACACTATCCATACAAACTGCCGACAGAAGTTAGCCATTCGGATTTCTCCGGACATAACTGACAGTCTATTCCTTCGACCTTGATCTTAACTGATTGCTGTTGATACTTGTCCATTTATCGTAGGCATATTTATTTTGTTTAACTTTCCCTTTGACCGGATTTTCGATGCTCTAGTTGTCCATGATTTTTCTGAATAATTGATGAATTGAGCTGATTATCAAAGTATTCTGAATGTCAACAGACCTTGATAATGGGCTTCTGAACAAGAACCAACAACAATCATTGACGATTAAGGCTGATCAGAAAGATTGTTATTGATATTTGGAGAAATTCAGATGGCTAACTTCTATCGGCAGTTTGTATGGATGGTGTTACCCAGGAAAACTATGAAAGTTTCACCATTAGATAATTCAAGTAACAGAATAACATACAACCAAAATCACTCCGTCATTAAGTGGTAAATACAAATTATATATACAGACAAATATCCTGTCAATTTCTCATCATTTTCCTATAGTTTCATCTTCCTTTTAATTAATACATTATGAAGACTTCATCAGACAGGACGAAAATCCATGAAAAATATGATTAAGGTTGAGTAAATTCTCTTGCTGAAAAGAAAGTTAAAGCCGAGAAAACTAACTAAAGATGACAATATTTTATGCAGTATAGAAGTTCTGTCTTCATAATGAAATAATGATAAAGGAAACATTTAATGTTATGATGATCAACATGTTCGTCCTATGGTTCTTCCTTTAGAGTTGTTATTCAGATGTTAGTTTTACCTTGAAATCATGAATGAACCATTTAAATGCAGAATCATACAATATGCTCACTAGTGGTTAGATTCGTGAGGAAATTCTTGGAGTCCTCGTGAGAAAACGTGACCAATAGAGTTCAACTCTGTGGAGTCAGAGCAGTAATTACCAAAGACAAATGGATCTCTAGATGGATCGGAGTTAGAAATTAACACTGTCGGATTCTGGCCCAGTGATCCAGTAGTTTGGGCGTTCGCGCTCAAGACCGAAGGTCTTGGATTCGAATCCTGCGAGTTGTAGGAGTCGTGGATGTGCACTACTGATGAGTTCCATACAAGGACAAAACGGCCATCGTGTGCTTCCAGGTTTCTAATGGTGGTTAAAAAAAGGTTTAATCCATGATTTCAAGATAAAGTTCGTCCGAATTTCGAAATAAACGATAACGTATTATAGTAGTGATTTCAAACCTGATACTTTCAAGACTGTAATATTAAACTCTATTGTCAAAGTCTAGGGGTTCGTCGTCAAAGATCAGTTTGTAATATTCAACAGTTGTCATCTAATATCTGAAACTAATCGATGCCAATGGTCGTATCACAACTTACTTATTCAAATCTGTCTTCTTCCATCACAAATGTGAATTTCCATACAGTTTTAGTTCTTTTTTAATAATTATTTTTGATAAAAAGCAGTTTATTAAAAAGAAATAATATTTTTAGCCACTTAAGAGAAATAATCAGTGTTTTTTGTAGATGGGATGTGGACTGGAATTTAATGAATAAGACCAAAATATAACTTAACTTTTGTAAATTTATTTAAAATGTTTTTTTCAGTCCGAAAATATTGCTGTTTACGGTTATCCTCATTCTATTTTCCTTTCCCTCATCAAGTGTGTGTGTGTGTGTGCGTGCAAAGCAAAGAGTGGAACTAATTTGATGACCAAAATTGTTGAATTAAAATATAAAAAGCTTATTCATTATTCTTCTTCGCAACTTCCTTTTTGTCATAATTACCTTTTTGTAAGATCGTTAAAAGAATCAAAAACAGAACTGTGACTGAATCTCATTTTAGTTCTGTTTTGCTCACCTTGTTTTAATATTGATTTTGAAGGAATGTTTCTTCTGAGAAATGTTTTTTCTCTTCAGGATCATTTATTCATTTGTGTTATTATTAGGCAAGTTTATTCAAGTTTAATTGGTGTAGATGATCTTGAATCAATACAAACTGTCAATAAGCTGCTTGTAAGGTCCATGTCATAATATATTTTTGTATCAGCATGAACCTAACTGCATCTCCCAAAATTTATTGCAGCATGAAGCCGAAGTGATAGATATGTGTTCTAGAAATTGAGCATATCTAAAGATTATGTTGAATTCAGTTAAAAATAAAACACTTAAGGTTTTCAGGTGTAGAAAGAGTTGATTACATAAACTCATTCCTTTTGAAATTTACTGACGGTGGATATAAGCTTGAGAATCAATATTCTCCAGTTTATTTTTGAATTACTCAGCAAAATTATCAAGAAGACAAGTCGAATCTCAAAGTGTCCAGGACATGTTATACCTTTTTATCAGGTAAATTATCAAAAAAACAATAAAATTCTAGAAATATACTTAGTTTTTTTTTACTCGTAATGTGACTCCGATTCGTCCGAACGATTAAATATCCTATGAAATACATCTTTCCTTCAATTCCCCTACATCGTTCTTAGTAGAATAAATGACAAGTTCAAAAGACATGTAAATAGTAACTCCGGTAGGAAAAGTAAATGATCTTACCCAAAAGCTAGGACTGATCATGTAGTCTTAATATGTATCTACCCTACACTGGTATAATGATAATAGCACATGGCTTTACTGAATATGTTTAGTAAAATATGTTTACAACAGTACAGTGCACTCACAGTAAAGATATTTCTAAAGAATTTTTGAAGGAGAAGTAATCATCAGTCTAACTGAAAGACAATGAAAATGATGTAATTTTACGAACAGACTGCAGAGAACTATTCCCGAGTCTCTATAACAACTAGATAGAATGAATAGATTTCAGTAAAATTTCTCTTTTCAAAGCCGAGTTCATGGGCTTATCCATAAAATATGTGGTTAACATTATTCTTACGATACAAATAATTAAAATTAACAGGAATATGGTATGTGAGTTTTTTTAACATGATTTTGTTTCAGGTACAATTTGAAATATCATTAGTATGACTTTAAATGATTTTTTTTTCGTCACAGTTGTTCGAGATAATTAGAACTTGCCTATAGTTTAATTTAAACCTTTTACTAATAATGTTTTTTTAAATGTTCTAGTTACAAACATTACATTTTTAAAATCTGATCACGCAGAATATCATATATTTTCTTTAAATTAACCTCAATCGATGAAAATTTTAATGCGTGTTCTTTCATGCTTAAACACAACTGATCTAGTTAATTGCCTAAATTCTTAATTGTATGCTTCATTTTTGTGGAACACTCATTTTTTTCTAACAAGATTACTCGTCAACCGATAAGTATAGCGAAAAATGAAATCATTCAAATAGTCCTCAGATTGAAAAAAAATCAGAACTTTCTCGTCAGTATTTCTTTCTCGAAATCTACGTTTACCCTTCTGCGTATAATATTTTATTTACAATTATCAACATTTTTGTATAGTGCTATAGATTGCGTAATATTTTAGTGACTTACCGATGAAACTATACTTTTTTCGTGAATAGATAAGGTTCAAGCTGTTTTTCAAAACCTAACCAGTGAGATTGTTGGGGATGTTAGATCCCCAGAACTCGCTTAATAAATGCCTTATTTTGGATTTCACGTTTGCGAGCATGGGCTGATCAGTTGAGCTTGAGATTTCATTTCCCACCAGCAAAATCCATGGCTGTGAATGAGTGCTGTGTATTTTAGTGTGCTATTTTTGTGACTGTCCCAAGGACGTTTCTATGATGTATAAACAACCGAGAGTTATGTGCCTGATTGCATTGTTGTTGCTGGGTGTTGTAGAATATACTTTCTACGCTTATCAAGACTTCTCTTTTGCAGTTTTGGGATCAAGGTAGCGTACCTGGATGCTAGTAAGTGTCTCATTTGCATTTATAGACTAAGGTGAACTCGTAATAGCTTCTAGCGTACCTAGTGACGAACTTCATATAAATCGACTAGCAAGCATTTAATGACTTATTTCACGTTTTGTACTTTTATGAAGTATTTTAAACTTTGTTAAACTGATGAGAAGCATTTTTTTGCCATGATGGAAATTAATTTACCAGATCATTTAAACTAGCAAGAAAAAAACTTCGAAATACTTCACAAAAAATAATAATATTGAATTTTCAATTTCTTTTTCTCTGCAGGTTATATATTTTGTCATTGTGATACCGATGAATGTCGTGCATTTGGCTACAAAGAATGTAAAGCTGAATATTACTGTTACAGTATTTATGAATTAAATTCACTATCAGATAACCGTGTACTATCTATAAATCAATCAACTGAAATTACTGGTATTTCTATCAGTCGTGGTTGTATTTCTAACAGTTTTTTAACAATGTGTACAAAAAAAGAAATTCAGCATAGTAAACAATTCAATTCACCATATATAATTACTCGTTGTTGTAGAGATGCATGGTGTAATACAGATAAAGTAAAAGTGAGTGAATTTATTGACTGTCAGATGTACCAAACATTTCAGTTTATAATAAACAACCGAAACTATCAGTTCGAATGTAAATTTTTATTTTAGAAGGAGTCAAATCTAAAACGAAACATTAGTAAAAAAGAGATCTACCTGTAATACAGGTATACTGAAAAATTCGAACAACAGAAACAGCATCAAATGTTTTAAATTAATTTGTACAATTTGATGATAATCTGTAGTAATCTAATATGACATGAAATCTTTCATGTTAAATTTAAAAGTTAGATGTGGTCTTTCTTCCAATAAATTATATGACTGACTTGGTTCTAGGCAATGAACAAGAAGCCTATCTTGAAGAATAGATTAATTACTTGAGCAATTTCATTGCTAAGAATAATCTTGAATGATCAGTAACAGTCACTTAACTTATTAAAACGTGAATAAACTGTGATTTTGAGTGTTTTTAATTTCCGCTATAAAATGTGAGAATTATGTTACGAAATATAGAACATATAGAATGCAGTTATACATTATGCGAAAAGATTGTTTAGACATGAGATTCACAGTGAAAAAAATGTATCAAAAGTATATTCTATTCATTTCAGCTTGAATCTTTCTTAGTTACTACTGACTTCAATAGAGTCAGCACAATAGCTGTGTATTGTAGAGTCTAAATTGACTAGTGAAAAACTGAGCAAAATTACGTCTATTAATTTCATCTATTATAATTTTTTTAAAAACCTTTACACTACAAAGCATAAAAAAAGAGATTTTCATTGAATATCGCAAGTTTTCAATTGAAGTGTATATGGAATAGAGAAATATATCTTTGTGAGAAAGGATTTTGTCAATTTTTATTGGAGGCCTGCATGAATATCTATTTTGCTTGACTCGTAACATCCAAATATTCCAACAAGTTACCGCTTTCTGTCTGTTTTGACCTAGTCAGTTATAACTATCAGTCGAACAAACTATTTAGGGATGTGTACAAGAGATTTATGAGTTACCGCTACACAAGGTACAAAGAAGTACAGTCCGAAACCAGTGTTGGCTGGTAATAAGGTGTCGATCGCTAAACTGCTTACTACGAAGTGCCGATCTCTGATTGTTTTGTAAAGGAAACTTGTTTAAATTTCACCTTGTCCTAAACATATGATATTGAATATAATCATAATTATTATTATTAATATCATTAAAATTTCTTTCTGTCAGTAAATTATGAAAAATAAAATGTTTACTTAATTATCGGCAACAATTTTACTCATTCTCCCCAATATAAAATCAGATCATTTCTATTGATTGCATTGTTTATTGATATTTTTCAAGCGCATCATTGTCAAAAGTAATTATGAGTTACTTAGTGGTTAGTTGTACTGGACAAATAAAATTAAATGTAAACAAATGCTAATTGATAAGTAGAGTTCAAGTATTATACTACACACTGTGGCAAATTATGATATTAATCAGTATTCAAAATAGAGTTTAACTCGTGACCTATCCCCTTACAGTGACCAACAATATCTTATTAGCTTTATGATCCATTTGACGAAGAATAATTGATTTCTTGTTCAATTTTATAAAGTAGCATGGCATTTACAATAAGTGTTGAAATAGTAAGATTAAGTTACTCTGTTCACAATATGGCATAAAATAAGATTATGAGTTTTATGACATTTGCATAATCACGTTTATTTCAAGTCACTTTCGATGATCTTCATCAATTCACATCAATCTGAGCTGAAAATGATGTTTATATATTCTAGCTAGGTTTGTGAAACTAACATTTTGTTATTTAAATATATGAACTATTGTGTTTTGCGTTAGATAAATCTTACCTTAGAAGTTATTGACTAATTGATAGTCAGTTATAAAATATCTTTAAAAGTTATAAATATGTTTGAATAACTTTTCGTTGTTCTTTTTATTCTAAGATCGCTCAAACTGATTGGTCTACGCCTGAAGTAAAACGTTATTTACCAGGAGACTTATCTAACTATGGTAGTGAACCGATGGAACATATCAATTCAAAACGACGAACACAATTGAAAACAGGAGCATCATCATCAACATCATTGTTGACTAATTCAAGGGATTTTAAAAAATCACCAAACAATCCCCACTTAATCGATGAAAATTTTTCTGAAAGTCTTATAAACTCAAAGTTACTTCATCAGGAAATATCTAAACCAACATCATCGAAAGATCGATATGATGCGGTATCGTCTAGAAAAGGAATACGACGAAAAGGTGAGAGAGGTATGTCAAAATGTTCTCATTTGTGTAAAGTGGTGACTTATTATTTCTTTATTTGTTTTTTATTGAAATGAATCTAAGCACTAACGATACCTTCTTCCTTCTAAGCTAAGTAATGATCAATCTGAAAGTCAAACTTCCGAACTTGAACTAAGTACAAGCATGCAATTTGTTCTTAGAAAATGAAATGAAGTATGTAGTTAAAAGAGTAGACATTAATCATGTTGAAATCATAATTTGCTCTCATTTAGCCGAATATGGTAATTTCTTAGGCGTTGTGGTTCGTTGTTTGATTAATTGTCAGTTTCAATATCGTACACTGAAATCAGTCTCAAATTCTTGTTTTCACCAAGTTACCAATCAAATTACTGAAATGATTGAATTTAGTTACTGAGAAAGTTTCTTCTGACGTCCACTTTTTACACATTTGAAATCATCAATCAAACATTGTTAGACCATCATTAGAAACATGGGAGCGCTGGACGGCCTTTTCGTCCTGGTATGGGACGCATCAGCAGTGCGCATCCACGATTCCTGCACCTTTTCATGGAATGTATTCAAACCAAGAAATCAAACTTTCAGACTTTAAGATTTAAATTATACACTAAAGTATACACTAATTGCAAGGAAAAGTTCAATTTAACGGAAATTAATTATTGCAATTAATTTCTGAAATGTAAACTGACTACTGACTAACATATTTACTTTCATTCATAGACAAAGAGAATGAAAAGAAAATGAAATCAATTAAAATACTGAAAATAACTTTGTTTCATTTTTAACTTTGTTATTTCATGGTGAAAAAAAACTTTTATTGAACTAATTTGAAGATAGATTTATTGTTATCATTGTAAATAAACATATAAAACTAATTGTTGAAAACAATAAACATAGAAATTAAGTAAACTACTGGCGCTGCTTTGGGTTTAAAAAATGCACTTTCATTGGCGGAAACTACAAACGATATTTGTTTTTATTTTCATTGAAAATTAAATGAACTTTGAACATATGTTCATGCGTATAGACCTCAAGTGTTTCAATGCCAGAATAATGTTATTTTAAACAAACTATCAATGGTGATGAAAATTAGAAATAATCATTGTAGTATATATATATATCATTTTTTAGTTTTTTCAGTAGTAAATCAGGTTAGTAAAAATAAATTGGTTTCTAAAATCAAACGTTGATTGTAATAGTAACCTCACGGAAAAGAACACTGATAGTGAGAAGACTGAGGCAGGCGCGATAGTCAATTAAAAACAAAAACATTACATTCAAAAACAGTCGATGATAAAACCTTATACCAGACCAGATCATGGTGTAGGACGAAGATGTGAGGCTTACAGAGAATTTCAAAGTGGTTTAAATATATTTTTTATCGAATGACTACATTTTAAATAAGTTGTCTTTAATTCCTCTCTGTATTTCAGTCAACTATAAAATTCATCAAATTGTTGGACTGCTGAGAAGAATGATCAAAATAAAAATTAACACCGATACTATCTAGTTCATATTAGCTGTTTAAAATATTAGAAAAAGAATTTGATAATGGTTTGCCTACTTGCTGACTTATTGCACTTTTTCCTGATAAAGAATGTATAATATTAGAATTACGAGTTAGTTATAAGTAGCATAACAATTACATAATGACTAAACAGGTGCTGAAACCGAGGTCAATCGATAGGAGTAAAGTTTTCTCCTGAATTATGGTTGTATATTCCTTTATTGGTGTTGTATAATACAAAACATAGTTTTAATGCTTTTTTCCGATTACATTCAACTGTTTATAAAAAGCGAGTGAAGAAAATTATGATCTTGAGTAACTTAGACTATACGTTGATATCGAGTTTCAGATTAAAAACTCTTTATTGTTTAACTTTTAAGTCATGTATCTTATTATTTTCGAATTTCTCAGTTTCATGAGTACGAAATGATGTTGTCAAACAATCTGGTAAACGAGTGATAAGCTTTATTTACATAAAAATGAAAATGGCTTTTCATTATTATTATTATTATCATTATTATTATTATTATTATTATTATCGCAATTATTGCTTCATCACACTACCATGAATAAACTAAACATGCTTTTAAATACACTGTACACTTCATTTTATTAAACTATTTAATGATATCACCATTGATCGTCTAAACATACAGAGGTACATGAATACTGTGAGAATAATCTTAGCTTTATTAATAAATTGTAGTAATACCAAAAAATAATACAAAACAAATTATTACGGATAAAGAAAAATGATTCATGCCATCTTTACACTGTAGTCATAGACAAACATTTTACTTTGGATAGGGAGAAAAACACATCACTTTCATTTTTTTTCGTTTTACAAGCATGATATTTTAACCAGTCAATTTATTCAGTGATAACATTTTACTTGGTATTTTTGTTAAATACCAGCATCAACATCATCATTATCATCAACATCAACATCGTCTTTAACAAGATTATTAGAAAATATTCATTGTAATCATAGCGTACCACTATGTACAAAATGTTAACTATTAGCTTTTCAGTCAAACTAATTAATTTATCCGTAAGAAAACAAAAATCATTGTCTAAATGATTAGAAAAAATGTTTAGTTTTGAATAACAACAAAGAAATATTAATTAATATTTACCAAGATAAATTACTTCTAGTCAGATTCATTTGCCAGGGTAAACGAAAAGCATAATTGTTGTTTTGCAGATGTTTTATTATTAAAATTAGACGTAGATTAAATCACTATTTCTCTTTTGAATTAAAGCTTGGAAAGTATGCTGATTTATGTATATATATATATCTTCTAATTCGGAAGTTCACCAATGCACGTCTTGCATCTAAATGCAGTAAGATGTAGTTTCTTGCAAGTCCCTTAGATGAATGAAACGGTGAACTAGACCGAATGACTTTCATTCAGAGATTATCTGAAGGTCATTCTGAAACTCTAGTACGAAGGTTTGTTTGTTTGTTTTAAAAATAATGATTTGTCAAATCCAGGATTAAATAAGTATAAGAAGCATAAAATTACAAACTAAGATTGATACTTTTTAGTTAAAAAGTAAGTTAATGATATCAAATATTCTTTTCAAACTATTATATGTTTTAAAATTAGAGTTATGGAGATTATTGTTTTTACACATTGGAAATCATCAATCAGTAATTTAAAAATCGTAAAATGTGCTTACTAGTGACTAGCTCCATGAGGAAATTCTCGAACTTCTAATAAGGCGTGACCGGTGGAGTTCAACCCTGACGAGTGTAGGCAGTAACAACCAAAAGCAAACAGGTGAGGTAGCGTTAAGCCCCTAGATCAATCAGAGTTAGATATTAACACCACTGGATTCCGAAGCAGTGGTCCAGTAGGTCCCGGGTTTGAACCCTGCGAGGTGCAGGACTCGTGGATGCGCACTACTGATGCATCCCATACCAGGATGAAACGTCCGTCCAGTGTTTCTAGGTTTCCATTGGTGGTCTATCAGTGGTTGATTGTTGATTTCAAATATTATATGTTTAATTTAAAGATAAAATAATCTGTTTTTGATTGAAAATTAACACGTTTTAATGATAACACTTCATCTACACGTAGACCATCTTCACCATTAATAAATGAATGATTTTTCAAGAAATTTAAAAAAATACCAGTTAATCAAACGACTATTATTCTAAAGTTCAAGAAGACAAATTATGTTACGTACCTAGTTTAATTTCAACTCTAATAAAACACTGAAATGTACATAAATGAAATTGTAGTGATTTTTATTTTCATTACTGATAACCGCGTATCGAATTACATAATTAAGAATGAGAACATGACAGATAAGAATTAGTTCAATCCCCGAAATAAATCAAAATTTTATACAATACTATCACAAATACTGATATCCAATTAGAATAAAATGAGTGAGGCTCAGATAGTTAAAGTAAGATTACTAAACTAGAAGACAAGGGTAGTTGTTAAACTTTCTTTGCCTTGTTGATAAATATTCCTCCAATACATCATTAATCTTTTTTATCAACTAATTTCATCTTCCATGATTTGCTGATCTTATTTCAACTAACTGAGCTTTATTCATTTTATTTTTGGTGGTTATTAGCTTTTATTTATTAGGTTACCAATTGTTTCTAGCCCGCTGGACATTTTTCATAATCAATGTTGTATAATGTTCTTCGGTGTAAGGTATATATTTACAGTAATTTGCTCAATCGATTAAAATTATTACATGCTGTCATTACCAGATGATTAAAAATTAGTTTTATAAAAAATCAGTACCATTCAACTGCAGTAGGAAAATGTTTAGCCTTGTCATGTATAACATTTTGATAATTCTTAAAATCAGTTTAAACATAAATGAAAAGCCAGAAATGAGCAAAGCCAAACATGAATTGAATTAAATAAGTGGATTTCAATAAAACGAATTCATATTTTTATTTTCCAAATTATTCTTAATGGGATTATTTATTTCATCGTTACAATTGGATCTCATGTATTCTAAAACACTTGTTTTGTCGATTACTGTAGAATTCTATAAAGTATCAATGAATGTCTATGGATTTAATTGCTCGCAGAATCCTGTAATTACTTTCAGTGTAAATTTGGAACATTATTTTATGTAGAGGAATGTGTATACGACAATAAAATAGGACATGGTATATTTTTGAACGAGATAAAATGTGATAATGCGAGCTACACTGAATTAACGATGAAGTGCTCATTGATTTTAAATAATTTACTAATTTTGAGTAACATTATCTTTCAAATTGTACAAATTGTATGGATAAAGTCATTTAAACAATAAAACACTTTTAATGGTCATACGGGTAGCTAGACACCTGTAGAGGTTATGAAATTTTGTTAGGAAATCATAATCTACACCACTATTTCATTGATGACAACGAGTGAAATGAGATGGTGGAGAAAATTTGTAGCTCAGATGGATGATTGTGGTGGTGGTTGTGGACCTTTCATTGTTCTTCTACTGAACAACATCATCAGCACAAACT